TAAAAGCATGACGTCCTTTAAGGGGGGGAAAAAAAAAGGATATTTATACAGTTAGTTCACACGGGTTCAACCTTACATCTATAAATCACAACGCACATACTACAGGGCACACAGTTTACAGGAAACTGGGACTATGAGATTACAAAAGTTAAGTTGTACAAAACAAATACTGAGATTAAGTCAAGCTCAACAAAATGTGGAGCATGCCCTTAACGAAACAAAACATGCCGTTCCAAATACTTTGTCTTACCGTTGCCATCCTCTATCCGGATTACAAAATACCTGCTGGAGTCTGTTACTGCTTCCACGACACAACCTGGATACTGTTCGACTGGAGCTTGTGCAAACAGCTCTCCTGCAAAGAGTAAATTTACACCAAACAAAGCCCCAGGGTTATTTTCTGTTACCAACAAGCTGTCAAGTTGAGATGACTGAATAAAACAAAACAAGACAGCAAGGTTTCTGAAAAGGAGCTTTGATAACCCTGTAACAATATGTCATGCTGTAATGTAAAAGGTTGACCTGGTAACAATCACCGAAACTGCAAAATGTTTTAATGTATTCCCAAAACCCTTTAAACTATTTTTGCTGGATGTAATTTGTGGTTCTATACGTGCAGCTTTATATCTCAGTGCGCAACAAAGACAAAGGTAATCTAAGTAAAATAGTTCAAAGACACAAGCTAGTTCTGAATAACAGGACCTACTCCTTTGCATTTTTGACACTCATTGGCTACAGGTTGCAAAGCAACCATGAAAGTCAATAACATTTGTTCACACAGCTATGGTCAGAAGGTTGCACACACACTCATTGTGGCCATGAACGTCACAGTAATTATGGCTTTTAATGGTTTATTTGACTTGTTCCGTTTCCAGGGGGTAATGATTGTACAACATAGACCTTTATGGACTCATTGTATTGACCAATACTAAAAATAATGGGAAAGTCCAAAGAACTCAGCAAAGATGTGAGGATTCTAAATTTACACACATTGGGAAGGTCTCTACTAAACAACTGTATGCAAGTGCAATTGAATAGTTTTTTGGATGTGTCACCACTTTGCCAAGGACTGGAAGAAGATCCAAACTTTCACCCTCAGATGAGAAGAAATTGGTGAGGATGTTCAGGAAAAACCCAGAAAGCCCCAATGTTCAAGCGTGCCATGAACTGACATCTGCTGGAACAGCATTGCTGTCCATAGTGAAACCAGTTTTACATCACCACAGAGAGGACGCCGACCAAGAAAGAAGCCCCTGCTCCAAAATCAGCACTTTCAAACTCGACTGAAATTTGCAGCTCCTCACACGGACAAGTAAAATGCCTTCTGGAGAAAAGGTTTGGGGTCAGATGAGATAAAGACTGAGCTGTTTGGCCACAATGACAAGAGTTATGTTTAGAGGAGTAAAGCTGGGACTTTTAAACTGAGAACATTATACCAGCTGTCAAACACTGTAGTGGTAGCATCATTCTCTGGAGCTGTTCTGCCGCCAGTGATACCAGTACATTGCACAAAGTAGATGGAACAATGAAGACAGAGGACTACCTCCAAATTCTTCAACTTTATCTCGGATCACTTCAGATCAGATCAAGTTTCCACCCTTCTTTCCGGAGGGTCGAAACTTGAACATAGTTGGGTGTTCCAAAAGGACAATGTTCCCAAACACACATCAAAACTGGTTTTGGAATTGGTAAAGCAGGCTAACATTAAGCTTCTGGAATGATTTTCCCAAAGCCCCGAGGTCAAGCCTATTAGTAGGGGTGCATGTACATATTTAAAAGAATTCTAATTATATTCAAGCTTGCACATCCTAAGGTTGTTTTTTAAAGTAATTAAGGATGTATACTGTGTAATCATTCCACCCTGGAACACGAACAGTTCAAAGAAATCATTAAATGCCCCAGATTACCATGACATTAACACTCATGATTTACGTGAACTTGTGACCACAAGTGTATATCGTCAAATGCAGTTGGATAAATCCACTAAGAGCAGAAGACGTCAGAGCCAAAGCAGGACAGGTCAGCTAATCACAGCCTGTTCGCAATGAAAACAAACCTACAGGACCTCAGCATAGAAAACTATAGTAACTATGAGACTCCTTTCTAGGTGAATCATGCTGTTACACTTTACCAGATCGCCTTTGCCAAATCCCACTTTAAATACTGGTTTTGAACCATATATTTAAACCGTCAACGTATTGTAAGACACAACTATGAAGACACAAACCTAACTGTTAACTAGTTACTACAGTCTAGTTTGGGGTTTACTACCAATTTTTTTCCTTCTTCTTAGTCTTCTTTCTTACTTCACTAATTAAAGCAGTCCTTTTTCTGCCTACCTGTATTTTTATCCTCTAACTTAATGTAGGCCATCTTTCCTTTGGCAGTTATTTTCAACCTTCCACTCCACGCAGGTTCATCCAGCTTCCAGTCTGCAGCACTAGAAAAACAGGAAACACATATCTACTTGTGAAAGTGGTGTAATCCTCTATGAAAACAGCTGACCCAGTCACTGCCAGCTGCTACTTTTGATGGAGGAGGAAGGGAAATGAAAGCTTCAAGTCAGACTAAAATGAGACATGAGCTCTATCTACTCTTACAGATGTTAAAGACGTTTTCAACAAATTGTTTAGGAGCAAAGACGTGACTCCACTAAAACAAACGACACATTTCAAACTAAGACACTAAAAACAAGAATAATTTTCTACTAGCGTTAAAGTTGAGCATCTGCATCTATCATTGGACAGATACTTAAAATCAACATTTTGGCCGGCCAATCAGACCAAAGCTACAGCGTTACATCTGCGTGTCATCGACGTGAGAAGTAAGCTTTTAAACGCCAACAGGTGCAAGTCGCAGGTAAGACGACAGAATGTTGAAGTCCCATTTCCGTGAGCTGATACAGTTAAAATTATATTTTTATATTAAAAGTATATATTGGCTACCCGTAAAAGCAGTAATCGAATGACAAAAACCTAACAAACTATCCTGACAAACTGCTGTCCGATAATGGGCGCATACCTGCAAAATTAGCCCGCTATCAAAAGTCTGGCTGCTCTCGCCAGTTAAAAACATTAGCACGTACCGATATCCGCGGTTAGAGGCCCGCGGCGGGATCCGGTAAACATGGACCTCTGGCTTTACACAGAGCATTGACTCGTAGCTGTTGTCTTCTGCCATCTTGTCAAGTTTCGCTAACCCAAAACCAACTTCCGACTTTCAATAGACCCTCGGCTCTGTCCTGCTGAACCAGGCTAACCGGACCTTAACAGCGCCACCTCCGGCCAGGATGTATAAGCGCCTAAAGAGTACGTCACAGTCTGTCAATAAGAACTTAGAATAGCCTAGAAAGAACAGTATAATGTATATAAATAGAGAAAGAACAGGAAGTTTTCCATAAGAACACTGAAATTATTCTCCTCTTATAAAAAATGATACATATCGTATTTCAATCCTTCTTACTGTGCGAAATGTATTAGAAGCCAGTGAATTCATGTATTTCCTTCCTGATACAATACATTACTACACAGTACTAAATAACACAAAATATGCATTATGTGAGGTTTGTCCTAAAAATCATTTTCATCTCTGCATGCCCAGTACAAATGGGAAATATTACAGCAAACTAAACTTTTTTCAGTGATTGTTTGAAGACAAACTGGTGACCCAATCTTTGAAGTGTTAAGCAAATTGTCCTGCATTCCCTCTAATATTAGATTAGATTAATTTGTCACCATGGGGACAGTCATAGTAGCAAATTATTTTCATGTGGGTTGTTTTTCCATTGAGGGTGAAAAGCTAGAGCAGAAAAAGTCACGTTTTCCCAAAAGTTCACCGGATGCAGTGGATAGTTATAAACAGATCATCGATCTGATCATGGATTGTTGGTGCCTCCGCACACGCAGACTGATATCCCTTAAGTCCATCTTAGACTGTGCTGATCCAGTGCCCCCTTCATTATTCTGAGCAGCATATGAAAGACTACTGTGTTTTCTAAAATAACAACACATGAAGCAAGTTGTACCGCTGAGTGTGTTTATTAAAGGGTGTTCAAATTTAATGAGCTTTTTCCCCCTAAAGCTTCAAAACAATGATGACATAAAAGGAGCTTCACACTAGACAGGTGGCTATGAATGACTTCAGCAAAGCATCATGGGTACATCACACAGGTACAGGATGACTATTTCTCCTTTTCAGTTTAAACTGATTAGAAACTGATTTTGTTACAATAATTGAATAGGATCCCAGGGAACGCTGTATTAGTAGCACATCATCTAGATGTTGTAGGTCCAAACGTCCTCCTTTTCATTGTAGATAATCTCCTAAAACAAAAACTTCTACTTTTTGAAGCAGGAATAAGTGGCACAAATGCAACACTTCCAGCCATGTTGATAAATGTGCTCCTGTGCTGTGCTGCAGTTTACTTGTGACATAAATAACCTTTCACAGAAAGCTCCAAATATGTATGAGCACTACCTGCTGGAGAGCGTGTGATGGAGACCAAGGATTGTTTATCTTTTAAGGCATAACAGCGTAGAAAGGTTGAAAACCTGCCGCAGGCTCATGTACTGTTTACTACAAGTGTCAGCACTGGTTATTCATCAGGATTTGCCTATACTATCATGTTATTGCAGGCAAACTCTTATTTTAAATTGGTCCCAAACAAGCAGACCACACTGTAAGATGATATTAGGTAAAGAACACCATTTTCTTTAAGGTTTCCTGGCCCTGGAAGAATATTTGCCAACACAAAACTTTAGATGATATCCCCATCTAGGCTGAGCTTGAAATAATTATTTCTGAATAATTAATACAACTCTTAACTGTAGGTAATAAATCAGCAAACTGCAGCCGGTACGAAAACCCACCAAAATCATCATCAACTCCAGAGCTGAGCTGCTCCGAAACAGCAAAGGAACAACACAGGAACATTTTTTTTTTTTTTTTTAAACACACTTTAAAACTTTCAGTTCATGTCTTCTGCCAATTAGATATAACTGAATATGACACGACTATGCAGACTACATCTTCTAGGCTCTTACACACTACAGATCACCTGACTTATACGTACTATGTGTCAGAAATGAAACACATGAACAATATGAAGTGTTTAAAACCATATGTGAACAAAAAGAAACGGCACAGAAAAAGGGCAACATTTTAAAAGAGAAAGAAAAAAAGGGAGTAATTTCATTATTATTGCTTAGATAAGCTTAGATTTAGTGATACTGTCCTTCAGCTCTATTCTTTTTGGCCACAGGCTGTGTGCCCACCGGGCATTTCTTTAAGGGCCACTTGTGCCTTACAGAGGATTGTGGACACTTGTGGCCTGAGCCACTGCCATCGACTACAGTATTAAAAGCACACTGCTAGGCACCAAAAGGCTCCATCAGTACAATTTTTATTTTTTTATTTTTATTTTTTTATTGCTGCTCACTCAAGCTGCTGAACACGCAATAAATTTATGGCACCGTCAAGCATTTCATTCCAACTGAACCCGACAAATTAAGGCCAGTACCCCGGTGGATACCCAGCCATGACCCACGCTTCATCAGTGGAAAGGCCACCTCGTGTGCTTGCCTTTTCTGGGGAGGTCCCACAAATCTGCAAGCTCTCCGTATTCTCCCTGAAGAGACAGACACCTGATGTCCTGGCACTCGGCCGGCCAATCAGACCTAAAATCATAGGGCACCTCATGGTACGTCAAAGTAACACAGTGTGTAGGAATGTGAGGCGAAAGCCTGCTCACAGTGTGGAACACAAAGGATTTCGGATCTTTGGCTGATCTCTGCCAGCCCCTTGTAAGCTTCCACAGAGGGAAAAGACAAGGCAAAAGGCAAAGACCACACCAGTAAGCAGAGAAGAGAGAGGGTGGAGAAGTTCATCTAAATCCATGCTACATCTTCAAATGTCTAACGTCTGTCAAATTTTATTTCGTCCCACCGCTCTGCTCTTCATACCACACACAACACTCCTCACTGCACCCTCTGTGCCCTCTCGGGAAGACATCCGTGTCTTGAATCAGGCAGCTCCTGCCTATCTGCACAGTCGGAAGCCTGAGGTGCCATCCGGGCCGTTGGGTTGACGGATCACGTGATTGTTTGAACGAACTGGTTCCAGTGGTTGCTGCACACTCATACAAGCTGGCCTAATAATGGTAAGAGAAAAATTAGAATACATTACAAAACAGTGTTTTTCTCTTTTAGGTGTCTTCTTCAAAACATTTTGTTGTCACAGTTGATTTTGCAGACATTACAACTCACCTGTCCTGGCACTGATTGTCCTGAGGCGTCTCTTCTGAAGAAGCACTACCCAAAATCCTCCTTCGGGCTTCTGCATACTCTGCCTCTCTCTGGGCCAGAGACTTCATCTGCTGAGCGGGACGAGACGAGGCAGCGGGGTTTCCTGTGTTGCCGTTATTTGTAGGGCGCTTTAAAATTCGGATTTGAGGTGGTGGTGCTGCTGGGAGAGAGTCATCTTGGACTACGACAGCAGTTCGTATAGGTGAACTGGCTGATTTCAAATTGGACTTTCTGCAAAGATGAGAAAATCATTAGTGTTTGAAGAGGTCTGGGCATGTTTTAAGTTAATTTCATTTCCTTAGTTTTAGTCTTGCCAATAAAGTTTTAAAAAAATATTCACAAAGATATTTTTGGGAAAAAAGAAGCAGAAAGCAGTAACTTTGTCTTCTGGTTACTTACTTTGCTTCCTGATTTATTTTCAGCTTTGCCTCAAGTCTTCTCTCAATTTCCTGAAGGAGGAAATATAATACATGTATACAATAATTAACTCGATTTCTATTTTTGTCCTTACATCATCCTGTATACCAGACATGTTCACATTGTAGAGATACACCTATCAGGTATTTGGACCGGATATCATTTCAATCCTGGCTCAATTACCCTACTACAATCACTCTTAAGTGACAACCAAACACAGCAGAGCAGGTAAAACTTTTCTGTGCGTTTCAGACTTTATTAAACCTTCATCACCAAAGACAGCCTCACATGCAATTGATCAAATACCTTATGCTGGGAAAGTCTTTGTTGCTATAGTAAATGTGCAGTGTTTTAGCTTTTTGTTGGCAGTATGATAATTATTATAAACTAACTAAATACACACATAACCAGATGACAAAGTACACAAATGTGAAAGTATCCAAAACATGTTGGTGCACAGAAGATAACTGAAATTTGGATGTGTATTTAACAGTAGAGGAGAACCTAAAGATAGTCTTAATATATGCATATATATGTTGTCTTGCAGTTTTGATTGTGACCTAATTGCCCCCAAAAATGACTGCTGACCAAAAAGAATGCAAAGAGGCTCATCTCACATTTGCCTAAAAATATCTTGACGATACCCAAGACTTTTGGGAAAATATTCTGTGGACTGTAGAGACCAAAGTTCAGTTTTTGGAAGGTTTGAGTCCCGTTACATCTGCCATAAAACTAACAACGCTTCCTAAAATCAACATAACACCAACAGTCAAACATGGAAGACTGAAGGAGAATGTCCTGCCATCAGTTCATGCCCCAAAGCTCAAACTCACTTGGATTATGCAGCAAGACAATGATCCAAAATACACAAACAACTCCAGCTGTCTAATATTAAAAATTAATTTCTCAATTACACTCTACGTGAGTGTAACAAATATGCAAAAGTAGGGCAGAAAACTCTTCTAAACAACACATAAAAAGGCTTACCAATAAAGCTGAGATCCATAGGTAGTGTTTAGCTGATAAAAACAAAAAACTTTTAAAAAAGCTACTAAACTAATTGAACCCCCTTACAGTCACAAACTCAGTGTTTCGAGGACACTTAGGTGCTATTGCAGAGAACCTCAAATTAGATCACAAGTGACACATTACACTTTAGCACAATCAAATCTAGTAGGGTTCATTTATTTTGGGAAACACACAGAAAAATGTATGTGTACAAACCAGCGGCTGTTTATAAAACTATTTTCTACAATCAGTGGCACACACTAGACTGCGAAGGTGCTGACACGGTTCATTTCAGGGCACATGGGGGGGGGGCTGCTGGAGAAAGCTGAACATGTCACGATATTGTTTCTACAATGACGTTACTCAGATTATTTCCACAGTTGGATAAATTAATTGATGTGATGGTGTGCTCAGTCCCGTGTCAACACGGCCTGCAAGACTCAACCAGGAAGTTCGGCTGGGAAAAAAAACGCTAATGTTTTTGGGCGCAGGAAGCCTCTACTCTATCGACAGCTCTTGCACTGTGCCTGGGTGGCTATCAGACTAAAGCCGGGGTGCTGTTACATCCCTGTTTAGCACAGTATATTAGCGTCTCTCACCCCGCTGTCCGCCGCCTCTTCCCAGCTTTCTGCAACCTCTTCATCCTCCATGTTTAAACGGGACTGCTGGGTGGCTGGTTGGCTCTCTTCGCTTCACCGGCTAAATGTACCCCACAGTGGGCATGAGACGACGGCAAGCGCTCAAGTACAAACCACAGGGAGCTCCGCCACTGGGTCCCTTTTTATGATCAGATAAAAGCTGGATAAACAAATTCCCAAACCTTTACCCCGGCCTCGTGTTAGCCTGCTAGCTTAAAGCTACACTCGGAGCAAACCCCACCAGCTGTCTGCTGTTTAAAATCCTCAGTAAATGAACCCCGGTCACCGCTGCTGCTCACACGGAAAACAAACACCCTTGGACGTTATGTTTTTATAAACCGCTGTCCCTGCAATGCTTTAATACTTAGCTTCACTACACCTCTCAAGTTTAACCGTCAAATCGAAGAAGGGAAATGACGTCATAACGTAAGCTACAGGTAACGTCAACCACAGGCTGCCTCCAAATGGAGTGGTTTAACAAATGAAGGCGTCTGTACCACTGTTATTATAATTTTGTTATTCATAATTAGTTAGATTTTTATATCGTTTGGACGTTTTTTTGCTTTTAATTCTGTTTCATTTCAGTTAGTTTCCAGCGTGAGTTTGCTTGTTTTACTTTTTTATCTTTTTGAAAGTGTTTAGTTTTAGTTTAGCTCCTTTTAGTTATAGTCTTAGTTTCAGTCTTTATTAATTAATATTGTACTCTGGGAAAATTTTGGGAAGAAAAGTACATACATAACAATAAAAAGAACGTTATGATAACAGACATCCAAAGTCTCAATAAATACATCAATCAAAGTCTCATCAGCCAAGTGCAGACTGCTTTTGGTAAAGTTTTGTTTGCTTCTTTGTTTGAACATATGAACTCTTTTCTCTTTTATTAAACATCACCCATCTCCTGTTTCAATCTTCTGAAGAAAACATAACATGATAAAACATTTATTTCCATTACATTCAAGAAAAGGCAGACATTTCTACACCTAATATCTTTAAAATATGCCCCAAATCACCCTGAGACAAGAACAGGCCAATTTCTTTATTCATTGGATGATTCAGTACTTTGCCTTGACAGCAGTACTAATGCTGACCTAAGACAGCATAAGTACTGCTGCATAGTTATGCCTTCACCTTCTACTGACAGAGAATGGTATCAACTGTTTTCTATGACAGATGTTTTACTGTCATTCAGTGACTTTAATTGTACCTTAGATACAGAAAGTTTAATTGTGAATTGTGAAGGATAAAGGTATTCAGGTTACATGTGATGATCACTAATAAGGAAATGTTCATATTTTGGTGATATAAATGTATTTTTCTAATCACAACAACAGGACACATTTTATCCTTTCACTGTTTTAAATAAATACAAGATACAATAGGTGCTGGAAACCAGTAAGCTTCCCAGATTGCGAAGACAAACTCTTGCATTGGAGTGAACAGTATAAACCCTGGGGGAGAGGTTTCTTTTTTACAGATGTGTGGGACGAGTTGTTGTTTCCAGAGCCCACGGAAAAATGTCATCCTGTGTGAAGATGCACAGGGGAAAGCTAGACTGAAAAATGGGTCTGTTGAACCTTCAGACCAGCCAGTACCAGCAGGAAAAGAAGAAGAAGCAAAAAACAATTAAATAAATAAAATTAAAGCTCAAGTTCAGGAAAACGTGGTATGCATTCAAGCTGCAACATTTCATTAATGTAAATTCAGCAAAAAGAAACTTTTATTTAATTTTTTACAGCAGAATTCAAATCTTAACTCAACACTGTTACAACCTCCAGCAACTGGAAAGCTGCGAAAACAACTAAACAACTAAAATTTGGCAATAAAGTGCACTTTTGCTACAACTCTGAATTATGCCATATTCAGAAGTTTGCAGACGACACGGCCATCATGGGGTGTATCTGGGATGACCAGGAAGAGGAGTACAGGAGCCTGGTGAGGAACTTTATCACATGGAGTCACACAAACCACCTGAAACTCAACACTTCAAAGACCAAGGAACTGGTTGTGGATTTCGGGAGGTCCAGACCAGGTCCACTGCCAGTTCAGATAGAGGGAGAGGAGGTGGAGGTGGTCAACACATGCAAGTACCTCGGGCTGTGGGTGGACAACAAACTGGACTGGTCATGCAACACCACGCAGCACCTGTATAAAAATGGCCAAAGCCGACTGTACTTCCTCAAGAGGCTGAGGTCTTTCAACATCTGCAGGAAGCTCCTGAGGATGTTTTACCAGTCAGTGGTCGCAGGAGTACTTTTCTATGGCGTGGTGTGCTGGGGAGCAGCACAGCAAAGAAGGACTCATCCAGGCTGGAAAAACTAATCAGGAAGGCGGGCTCTGTGGTCGGCATGAAGCTGGACACTCTGGTGACAGTGGCAGAGAAGAGGACCTTAAAGAAACTGATGGACATTATGAACAATGCCGGGCATCCTCTGCACACGGTCGTAAACAATCAGAGGAGCCTATTCAGCGACAGGCTGCTTCTCCCAAAGTCAAAAACCAACAGACTTAAAAACTCCTTTGTCCCACACGCCATCAAACTGTTTAACTCCTCACTGGAGGGGAGAGGGAGGAGAAACAGGGGGACAAGGGAGGGCGGGAACAACTGAGCTGTAGGTGCTTTTCTACACTGTGCAATATTTGTTTGTTTTTTTGTCTTTTTTTCTTATATTCGACTGTGCAATAATCACTGTGCAATATACTCAGTCAATCCTATTTATCCATATTGTATATTCTGTATCTATATATGTGTATATATGGTGTATTTATGCTTATATCCTTACTCTCATTCCCCTTAATGTATCTGTAACATGCAACTTCTTTTGTGCTTTGCTACTGGAAACTGAATTTCCCGGAGGAACCTACCCGAGGGATTAATAAAGTTTCATCTAATCCAATCTAATCTAATCTCTAATCTTTTCATATATTTATATATTTATTTTTCTCTTGAGGAAAATCTCCCCCAGATATGTTTTAATTCAAACTTTATTTTGGGTATCTTCTTACATTATGTTGTGTATCTAATAATGCTGCTGTTATGAATGTCAGGCTTATTTGGTAAGACTTCTGTTCTTGTTTTCTGTTTTTGTTTTGTTTTTTGCTTCAATAAACTATACATATATATACAAAATACATAAATATACAACTAGAAAAACCTTAACAGTGGTATGGAAAGGTTTTTCTGCAACTGAACATTCTTTTAGACTAAAGACTACATTTTGAGTTAGCGTTTTAAATTTTAGACTTTTGTAGTTATGGCTCTCCATTTTCTTACTTAATTACTCAAAATTTCAACTTAGCTTTTAATTAAAAAAAAAAAAGTAATTAATAATTGAATGGCTGAAAAAGGCTTCCATACCACGGTCACACACAGCGTGTTGCCCTGGGCGGCTGTTTGGGGCTGAGGACCCACCCTGGTACCACAGACGGTTAGCGGCTACCGGAGCGTCGCTGAGCTGCGGAGGAGGTCGCTGTTCACAGCGGAAGATGGCGACTGTTTGGAGGCTGCAGAGGAATCTTTGGAGCTGATAACGGGGAGGAGGAGGAGAGGAAAGCTTCACACTCAGAGCCCTGAAAAGAATACGTCTTAAACAACGGTACCAGACAAATCTGGCGTAGTCACCGAGAGAAGCTGACAGCGTATAATAAAGAAGGAAACTGACATTACACATAGCCTGTGGTTGAGCTAGCGTTAGCAAAGATTATTAGCAGAAGACTGAAGGTTTCGACTAGCTCGTCAGTTAGGAGGGTGGTAACACCAAATAAGGCTGCTGACCTGAGAGGATGTCGTGTCGACAAGACAGCTAAGAAGTGAGCGATTTTATGCTGTTTAAAGCAGAGGTGTTGTCGAGAAAATGCACCTTTTCTTTGACACCGCTAGCCAAAAGGTTCTTTTTCTGTTAGCTAACGTTAGCGTGGATGCTCATGACAAGTTGACTAGCGTTAGCCAAAGCTAGCACAAAATATTTTTTCTTGGTCACAATACGGTACCATTAGCCGGTTGGTTAGTTGGATAAATTGCAGTTTGTAGCAAAAATCAAAGCTCATTTAGCCTTATGAAATATGACGTTACTTCCAATAATATCGTGAGTTAGCTTTAGGCGATAATTAGCACTAGCTACCCAGTATTGCATTATAATGTGATGGCTAACGGCAGCTAATTAGATGTAGCTAATGATATAACTGAAACGTCCGGTGTGGACAGACCAGATACTCAAAGAAAGGACTCCAACCGTTCTAAACAGTGGATATCACACTTAAGGTCGTCAAGCGCTAATTTTATGCTGATTGCAGCTTTGCAGTGTCATTGGGTTTCTTGGCTAGGAGCAGATCTCTTCCAATTTAAAGCCTTCACCCTCTCTATGTTTAGGCTGAGTGAATCAGTCATACAGGCATCTGTAAAATGTGGATTCCAGTAAGAATGTGTAGAGCACAATTAATTAATTAATCTAGTTGATTCAAAATAGTCCCCTTAGCATCAATAGCCTGTCTCCCAATGTCTCAACAGACAATAATGTCCCGTTCCCCTGACAATGAAGATGGAGGAGGACATGTTGCCATGGATACAGAGGATGAAGGTTCAGAGCCTGCTGGGATAACGGAGGAAGTGGAAGCAAAGATGGGGTCCTCCTGTCAAGAAGGGAACATGGACAGTGGTGCCAAAGGAGAAGGGAGGACAATGGTGGAGCTGCCGGAGGAAGTTCTAGAGTATATTCTGTCCTTCCTCTCACCTTACCAGGAGCACAAGACCGCTGCACTCGTTTGTAAGCAGTGGTACCGTCTCATTAAAGGTACGCCGCTCATGTTTGCATAATATTTAATCATAAGGTGGATGCTTGTTTATCTTTGCTTAGAATCTGCTTTCTCCACTTTTCTGCCTTCTGTTTCTTGAACACTTTCTCTGCTAACTAGGTGTTGCCTATCAGTGTTACCATGGATTTTTGAGAGCTGTCCAGGAGGGTAATATCCAGTGGGAAAGTCGCACATACCCATATCCAGGAACTCCCATCACTCAGCGCTTTTCACACAGTTAGTATATGACCCTTTTACCATGGTTCATGTCAAAAGCATTTTGTCCCACTTATAGGTTGGTGTGTCTATTTCCTACAAGTCAAAATAAAATGCCACTTCATTTTTATGGATCTGAAGCCTCTAAATGTTTGGATGTAATTTAAGGTATGGATCAGATTATAAGTTTAATGTACAGCAATTAAAAAGGGCTTTCAGTCTGTGGTAGATGACTCATGAAAAGAGCAGCATCAGACATTTAATCCACGTATAGACTACTGCTCGTCTTAAAATAGATTATTAGCAACTTCATTTTTTTTTCATTTTCTTTCTTCACCAGCTGCATTTGAAGTGAAATGTTCTTTCATCAGCTTTGTTTTGAAATCTTAAAATGCTGATTTGTGCTATGTCACTGTCATAATAGGCCACTTGGAGTAATACAAATATAAACCCTTTTAATTACAGTGGTTTAAATGTAGTGTCAGACAAGCTGTTGGTGCCATCTCATGAAGAACAGGATGATCCTTAAAGCATTGTGTGCAGAGACTTTAACTATACACCCTGGGTATTTATTCTCTCTTCTTGCGGGTTGCAGGTGCATGTTATTATGACTCAAATCAGTCCATGTATGTGTTTGGGGGTTGCACTCAGAGTAGCTGCAATGCTGCCTTCAATGACCTATGGAGACTTGACCTCAACAGCAAGGAGTGGATCCGCCCTTTGGCCTCAGGTAACAATTTCACAGGCTGGTAAGAACAACACAAATCAGAGGTTGTAACCCCTTTTACAACTGTTCTGGAAACAAGTAGCTTCTTATGTAAGGGGAGCTGTGTGGGGACAGTTTCCTTGAAAGGTTGAGTTGGCTCTCTGAGAAAATGCTTGTAGGAAGTGGAGTAAGATAGTATAAAGAGAAAAAGTCAGCAACATCTGGGTGAAAATGTGATTGGGTCAGAATTTCAACCTGGGGAACACAAGCTATGATTTTTAGATACATTTGGGTAGTTACAGTTTGGTTTACCTAGATATCCAACATAGTTGTCTGGTTACTGTTGATGTGGGTGGGTGGGGGACGGGGATAGTTCTCCAACCAGTCTCTAAAGTGCAACCTACCTATTTGATGTATTGCTATGGCAACATAATGGTTCTGCCTTGGTTTATAGAGTGTAGTAAACAGTTCAACATGTTTTTAATGGTCATTTAAAGTGTCCCCGCTACAGCACAAAGTTTGACAAAACTGTTAATCCCATCCATGGTGGCAATTTTCTCATAATTACTGCTCCCATAATTCTCATTATGTTAACATGTTTTTAATCTTAAAACTGATTTTTCATGTTGAGACGCCAGGTAAATTGTTTGGTGGACCACACAGAGGTTTGGATGAGTTTAGGTTACAGATCTGCCTGTTTATATTTGTTTTATTTGCCTAAATGTAATTATTGTATAATTAATGCTACATCCTTGAGGTATAACATCTCATCTCACGGTTTGGGTCAAACTCCACTCTTTCACAATTTTCTGTCAAAAATCTTTGAAGACCAGTCACCCATATTCAGCAGGACATGCTAGAGAGAACAATAGTCAGATGCTTAATAGCAGATTTAATTATACAATGTATGAGTTAAAGCAAAGAGGAAACAGTTTCTGATATGCATGTGTAATTGATGACTTATTTAAAAATCTGGCATACTTATTTTCCAATAATTATTGTTTTATTTCCTTTAAACAGGCTCTTATCCATCTCCTAAAGCTGGAGCGACTCTAGTGATGCACAAAGATCTGTTAGTGCTGTTTGGGGGATGGACTCGCCCCAGCCCTTATCCACTACACCAACCAGAACGTTTTTTTGATGAAATCCACACCTACTCTCCTTCAAAGAACTGGTGAGAAGGAGTGACTGACACATGGTGGCCAAATATGAACTAGTTTAAACATTTCATTATTATTGTCTTCTTTTTTCATATACTTTGTTTTTTCCTCTGTCTCAGGTGGAACTGTATAGTAACGACACATGGACCTCCACCTATGGCAGGCCATTCTTCATCTGTAATAGGAAACAACATGATAGTGTTCGGGGGATCTTTAGGAGCACGTCAGATGTAAGAAGGTTTTATTTGTAATTGACTGCATGCAATTAGAAAGACTAGTCTAAATTTTTGCTTATTTAAACTACAGTGGTGTTAATAGGTTGCCATTGTAAAGGCTTCGCTTGGTTGGTTAACACATGTGAAACAAATTAAATTAGATCTGAAACAATGTGTTGTACAGACTGTGATCTTAGACGGCAGTAATCACTGTTCCCAAGTACAGTAAATCTTCCCACACTCGACTCTCAGGAATTATATTTCAATATAGATTACTAATCCTTTTAGATTTAGATGTTATGAACAGGGATGTATTACTGAATGAAAATTTCCACTGGTCCTCTTTTGGTTATGACAGGAGTAATGAAGTGTGGGTTCTCGACCTGGAGCAGTGGTCCTGGTCCAAACCGCCCATATCTGGACCATCACCACACCCACGAGGCGGCCAGTCACAAGTAAGGCTTCAGTATTTTAAACAGGGATGCTTAATCATTTTAACAGCCCTGTGGAAGTTTTGACTTTGACTTGTCTCTTTGTGCATTTACTAAAGGTGCCAGAAAAGTCCATCTATGTTTTATATGTGAAATAAATGATGCTCTTCAAATGTTTATTCATTAGATTGTGATAGACGATCAGACGCTGCTCATCTTGGGAGGATGTGGTGGTCCGAATGCAGTAAGTTTTATTCTTTCTTTCCAGTTTTAAAACAGGTCCTTGAAACATGAGAACTGATTTGTTTTGTTTTTTCCCCTAATCATAGCTTCTTAAAGATGCCTGGCTTCTCCACATGGATGCACTACCATGGAGGTGGCAGCAGCTGCAGGTGGAAAACGAGGACCATGGGGCCCCAGAGTTGTGGTGTCACCCAGCATGTAGGGTGAGTGTGTGTGGCTTAGCCATCAATTAAAGGTGTGTGTTACAAAGCACGTAGGTTGCATGTATAATATACACTGCATAATATTATGGTCACTGATGCAGGTTCTGACAAAGTTGTTAGGATACACAGAGGATCACAGTTTTTGCGCATGGGGCTGTATAGCTGCAGACCAGTCAATGTGTTCATGCTGACCCCTGTCCACCCCTGCCACAAAGAAAAAATGGGTCAGGAATGGTTTGAGGAGCTAAAAGGCGAATTTGAGGTGTTAACTTGCTCTCCAAATTCCCCAGATCTCAATCCGATCGAGCACCTGTTCAATGTGTTGGACAAACATGTCCTACACATGGTGGCCCACCTTACAGCTTACAAGACTTAAAGGACGGGTGTAGTCGAGTGCATGCCTGTGGGTGGGTCAGGGCAAAAGTGGGACCAACACAGTATTAGGCAGGTGGTCATAATGTTATGCCTCTGATCAGTTTATGTTTAAGATAATCTATATGGCACTTGGAACAGTAAAATTAAAAATTAAAAATTGTAAAAACACCTTGAAAGTAATTGGTTAAGGTTGAGACATTTGAAACTGATTTTTTTTTTTTTTTTTTTTTGAAAACTCTAAAACAAACCTTCCCTGGTCAGTTCTGCCTTCATCTTAAGGTACTGTTGTGACCAGGTTAAAAACAAAAAACATAAAGTCATTCTTTGACTTTACCTTCAAAATACCTCCTTAACCCAGTATGTCTCTTTATAGTACACTCCTGATTTTTGTGAATACTTGTAAACCGTGTTCACTAATGCTTCTTCTTCCCAACTTGTTCTTTTTTTTACACACAAGGTGGGCCAGTGTGTGGTGGTCTTCTCACAGGCTCCATCTGGGCGGGCACCGCTAAGCCCAAGTCTTAACTCTCGGCCCTCCCCCATAAGTGCCACACCTGCCCCTCTGGGCCCTGAACCTCCTTCCCTGCGCTCTCAGTCTCCCGTTCGGAGCGGTGCTGCCGGTGTTGTTCTGGGAGCTGTTGAAGAGGCTCCGTGTGTAAATGGCCGATGGGGCACTCTGAGACCTCGGCCTTCAGCGAGAGGTGGTGCCAGAGACGGGAGCCCGTCCTCCTCTCAGCAGCCATCTCCTTCACAAGGCCCAGAAAGCCCTCCTCTTCCTCCCTTAATAAATGGATCCTCCCCTTCCCCACGGACCAGCCCAGCCCAGGCTGCATCTCCTCCCTCTCGTCCTCACCTGCCTTCCTCCACTGACTATGGATGGGAGTCTCCCCCCTCTGCTGCTCACCATCCTGAGGTCCCCAGCACCAACGGCCTGCATACACCTCCCTCAGGCTCCCCATGCACCCCACCAGGTGCAGTGTCCCCTGCTGCCTTACGACGAGGGCTGGAGGCAGTGAAAAACAAATCTTCCTCATCTGTACCTTCTTCATCATCATCGTCTTCCCTTCAGACACAGGGGCCTTCTCCTGGAGGTGGAGCAGGTCCTCCAGGAACCCCTCCGTCATCCTCCTCCAGTCCTCCTCAGGTGGCTGGAGCCGATGGACATGCTATCCCGCCTATTGCGAGGCGTCTCGGTCATCATCCGCCGCAGAGCCTGAACGTAGGCAAACCTCTGTACCAGTCTCTCAACTGCAAGCCCATGCAGATGTATGTGCTCGATGTGTCCCGAGCCAAGTCTGCTGGGGTAGTGTCTTGGAGAGTTTATGGGAACGGGACTCCACCTGCAGTCACAGGACCACCGGAGACCAGCCTTCACACTGTGGTACAGGGCAGGGGAGAGCTCATCATCTTTGGAGGCCTCATGGACAAAAAACAGAATGTGAAATACTACCCTAAAACCAACGCCTTGTACTTTGTACGCGCTAAAAGGTAATGCAGCTCCAGACGGGATTGAGAAGATGTTCATCCTGTGACCACACAAGGGAACTGACACACAAGGCCTTTTTCCTGTAGGAAGGATTATGAATAAAGAACATAATCATTGCTAGATATTTCACTTCAGAAATTCACTATTCCCCCTTCTGCCTACTGCAAGCATTCAAAAGAAAACACTTTAAGTACACTTTGATAAAACCATTTGCTTGAATGAGAATCCTGTGAGTGTGTGAGTATGAGACCACAGTGATGGGAGAAAATTTGACTTCTTTTTTTTTTTTTTTTTTTTTTTTTTTCCCTAGAAGAACAACCAGAAAATGTTTATTTTTTGTGTCATCATCCTCTGAACTCTTAGAGTACGTCTGGAAGAGCAGACGCTGTTGACAGAAACTGTCTACCTGCTTTTTGTATCACTCTTTAAGCCTGCAATGTTTACATTGAAAACAGTGTGCGTGTGTGTGTGTGTGTGTGTGTGTGTGTGTGTGCACGATGGTGGTTAAAAGTTGTTGACTAATGTGTGTGACGGGGGCTACAGTGGATGAGAGATGTGGCACTGTACTATGAATATAGTTAAACAATAAAGGCCTCCATGTCTGCTCAGTGACAGTCTCAAAATTCTTGTTTGTCTTTAAACATTGCTGCTGTTGTAGCTTAAACAAGCTCAGCTTGCAGTCATAATTGTGTTGAAGCTTTCGATCATTTCAGCAGTTGTCATCAAACTGGAGAATAAACTTTGAAGTTACACAAACCTAAGGAAACAGCTGAAACCATTAATGTGAAGTTTAATTTTTTTTTTTCTAATAGTTAAATACTTCTTCACTTTAATTAGAAGTCGAGTCAAAATTAGAATCTTTAACTTTTATTTCCTCTGATAGGCAGGCAACAGTAATTCAAATAGCCACTGATTACACATGATGAATGCACAAACCTTAAAGCAGATGGGCTACAGCAGCATACGACCACACCGAGCATCACTCCCAAGAAGAGGCACAAGTTTGCATGGACTCGCTAAAAATGGACAATAGAAAATTGGGGAAAAAACACTACCTGGCCTGTTGACTGTGGACTTACGCTGGGACATTAAGATTAGTAGGGCTTTAATTTGGTGCAAACAACATAAAAGCATTAATCCATCCTACCTGATATCAAAGATGATAAAGGCACCTTGCTTGTACTGGGCTAGAAAAGGGGGTCTAGCCCAGTACAAGCAAGGTGTACTTGATAAAGTGTCTGTTGGGTGGACAAAAAAACATAGTGGTATACATTTCAACATTGTGAATTCAGTAGTGGTTTCACATCTAAATAAGGTGGGTTTTATATGCTTAGGATTTTCTATGAGTCTGTTGTGGCCAGTGCGATCCTCTATGCTGTTGCATGCTGGGGGAGCAGGCTGAGGGTAGCAGATGCCAACAGACTCAATA